AAATTTGAAAATTACAGGTACGAAGAATGAATGAATAGGCTGGATTATTTTTATCCTCAGATTACAGAAGGCTGAGGGGAGACTTAATTGAGGTTTATAAAATAATGAAGGGCTTGGATACAATGGACAGGAAAGACTTGTTTCACTTACAACAGGGGTCAATTACCAGGAAGCAGATCTAACATGTTTAGTAGCATGGTTTAACGGAACATAGGTAAAGATTTTTTTCACCCAAAACACTGTTGGTGTCTGGAATTCACTGCCTGGTTTGATTATTGTAACAGAAACCCTCGACTCATTTAAAAGTTATGCCAAAAGCACTGTACACTGTTGCAAAGTGGGATTAAAATGGACAGCTAGTATAATCAGCCATTGCAGACACGATGGGCTGAATGATCTCATTCTGAGCCATAACCTTCATATGGTTTTATGGTTAAAAATGCATGGTGAATGCTATTTAATTAAAGGAATGCAAACTAATTGGTCTATTGTTCACCCCTCTGGGACATTATCACCAATTGCAAAAATATTGTCCTATTATCCAGCATCAAGTATTTCTCCCCTTTTTTTTGAGCAGAATAAAATGAAGTTAAAAACATAGTGCATTATCGCATTGTTCTGAAGGTGAATATCAGAACCAATTTGCACATAGCATGTATCCTCTAATAGGAAATGCACAGTGGTTTCCAGCTAAGGGAAATTTGGTCACAACACTGGAAAGATACCTTGCTTTGAATATGTATCTGCATTTAGACTAAATTATCTGCCTGTTCAGATAAATATAAGTTTCATTCAAAAGCCAGCACCACTGGCAACTTAATATGCACTTGAACTGCTATAAGTTCAGATTAAATAAATGAACACACTGCTGATTATGCGTTGGTGTCGATTGCCAATCAGGCTAAATCCCATAAGAACTGAAACTCCTCACAAGGAGAACAAGGTCTTCAAGGACTTGATGACTGCACTTGATGAAATATATGACAGATGGATCAATGATCCAATTCATAAATTCTGTCTTAATTGAATTCTTTCTCTTGTACAAACTTTATATAACAGTGACTTAATAAATTGAGTTGCTACTGTAGAAATTATTCCTCATTAACCTATTGAAGAAGTAATTAGAAAGGAAAAGTGAGAAAGAGAAATAACCCTCCATTTTCTAAGGAAGCTACATCTGAAATGGAGATTGGAAACCTAAATTTCTGGGGAAACAAACTGAAATTTCTGGTGGCAAGTCAGTGAGAAGGTGCTAGTCAGCTGCCTTCTTGAATCTATGCAGTCCATTGTGTAGATGCCCTCACAGTGCTGTTTGGGAGGGAATTCCAAGATTTTGACTCAGTGGCATAGAAGAAATGGCTTATTTTTATTCATTCATGAAACGTGGGCATCACTGGCTGGGCCAGCATTTATTGTGCATCCCTAATTGCCCCTTGATTGAATTGCTTGCTCAGGCCATTTCAGAGGCAGTTAAGACTCAACCATATTGCTGTGGGTCTGGAGTCACATGCAGATCAAACCAGGTAAGGGTGGTAGATTCCTTTCCCTGAAGGACATTAATGAAACATTTGAGTTTTTACAACAGTTCACAATGGTGGCCATTAATCATCCAGATTTGCATTGAACTCAAATTTCACCATTTATCATGGTGGGATTTAAACCCATGTCCTAGGGCACTTGTTGGGACTTTGGATCACTAGTCAAGTGACATTACCACTGCATCCCTATCCAAAGGAAGATAACAAGTAGTTCACATTTACACGGTTAAATCATCTTTTTTAAATAGGTTTAGAAATACTTATTGATTTTTATATTTATTGCTAGTTTTATCTCATAATCCAGTTTTTCCTTGCTGTCACTTTTTTAATCATTTTCTGCTTTGCTAATATTCTACCAAATCTTCAGACCTGCTGCCCACCTTTGTGTAATTTTTTTTGTTTAATATTATCTCTAATTGTTCTATTGTGTTCTCTGAAATATTTCCTTAAAATGTTTGTTACCGCATCTCTATTCACCTATCCCTTAACCTAATGATATTTTTATTCACTCATGGGATGTGCATGTAGCTGATTGGCCAGCATTTATTGCTTATCCCTAGTTGACCTTGAAAAGATGGTGGTGAGCTGTCTTCTTGAACTACTGCAGTCCAGTTGGACTCTCAATGCCCTTAGGGAGTGAGTTCCAAGATTCTGATCTCGCAATTCACTTTTATGCTCTCATAATTGTCCTTATTTAGCTACACACCAAGATATAGATAGTAACAGATACCAGGAAATGTAAGACTTCTATGGTATTGGACTACAAACCACCCTCCATCATCAAAAGTATCCATTAACCCTTATTCTGTTTCCTATCACACAGCCAATTTTTATTCCTCTTTTATTTCGTGAGCAAAAACTTTTCTCATAAGTATGTTGAGTGGCACAGTATTGAGCACCTTCTGAAAGTCCATATACAACACATCAACAGCATTACCCTCATGAATCCTTTCTGTTACCTGTTCAAAAAACTCCAGCAAATTAGTTTGTTGAACATTGGAATCCCTTAAAAATTGAATTTTCCTAATATTTACTGTGTATTTGAGATTTCATTTCAAATGAGATTTCATTCAATAACTATTACAGCAGTACTTAATTTTCAAAATTTTGAGCCTATGAAAACAAAGAGAAAAATTATAGAAAACACAGCGGTCACAATGCCCATTGAATTAGCATCAACAATTTATCTAGTGCCAAATACACCCTTATTATCTGTGTATTGTTTATGAAAATAGGAGTATTTGGTTTTAGAAGGAATGGTAAACTAACCCCAAATATGGGTGTTCTATTCTCTCCCTGCTATAGGAAAGATGCTGTGAAAATAGAAAGGGTTCAGAAAAGATTTACAAGGATGTTTCCGAGGTTGAAGGGTTTGAGCTATAGGGAGAGCTGAATAGGTTGGGGATATTTTCCCTGGAGCTTCAGAGGCTGAGGTGTGACCTTCGAGAGGTTTATTAAATCATGACAGCATGGATAGGGTGAATAGCCAAGGTCTTTTTCCCAGGGTAGGGGAGTCCAAAACTAGGGGACATAAATTTAAGGTGAGAGGGTAAAGATTTAAAAGGGCCTACGGGGCAACATTTTCACACAAAGGTGGTGTGTGTATGGAATGAACTGCCAGAGGAAGTGGTGGAGACTGGTTCAATACAACATCTGAAAGGCATCAGGAAGGGTACATGAATAGAAAGAGTTTAGAGGAATATGGGCCAAATGCTGGTAAATGGGACTACATTAATTTAGGATATCTGATCAGCATGGACTAGTTGGACCAAAGGGTCTGTTTCTGTGCTGTACAACTCTATGATTCTATAATTGATTGACGCAGAGAAAATAACCTATACCTAGAAATATGATAAATAGACCAGTTAACAACCACTTTAACAAGGCCGAAACATTCCTTACCAACAGTTCTTTTTCCTCTGGAATCAGTGAACCATCTCCAATTGCCACAGTAGTATACTTCATCTAATTAAAGAATGTATCATATCTAAACTGCTGCTTCTTAAACTCAATAAGCTATCATAAAATTATTTACAAATCAACTGCCCATATTAGGTAACTGTGATCACGAATCTTAAAATCAACACAATTTTCATGTTGACTCTTCCTAATCATACTACCTATGACTACTAACTTTATTCTGATTCTAGAAAATTCCTCACCACTGAAATTAATCATCTGTAATTGATGGGCTCATCCTTGCCACATTTTTTGAGCAAGGACATGATGACTGCAATTCTGTTCTAACACTTCTCCCGAGTATAGGGAAAATTGAAAGATTACAGCCAGAACTCTTGCAATCTCCAATATCACTTTCTTCAATATCTTAGTTGCATCTCATCCAGTCCCAGTGCCTCGTCAACTTTAAGTAGCAACGGTCTAATACTTCCTCATCAATCTGAACTCTTTGAGTGGCAGAGTTTCCTTCTCTGTCACCAAGACCAGGATTGCATTTGCCTCTTTAGTAAAGTCAGATACGTAGTATTCATTCAATATCTTAGCTGCGTCCCATGTTTCCAAAGTATAAATCCCATTTTTCATCCCCAAATAATCCTACTCCACCCTTTAAAACTCTCTTTCTACTTAAATATCTGTAGGAGATGTTATCTTGGCTGCCAGTCTTTCTCATTATTCCTCTTCGTTTCCCAATTATGTTTTGTCACCTCACCTCCGAACCTTCTATATTCCTATTGATTCTGAATTATAGGCTCCATCTGACATGACATCACCTGTCTTCTTCATCTTAATTTTAATCTTTGTTATCCTGGGAGCTTGCCTTACCTTCCCTTTGACTGTACCTGACCCTTCTACTCATTGAAGGAAGCCAACCTTTTGTTCCAGTCTATCTTGCCCAGCTTCATTCTTGCCCCAGTTAAGTTGGCTTTCTGTCAATTGACTTGCATGAGAGAGAGTGAATATGAGAGTGAAAGAGAAAGAGAGAGCGAGTGAGTCAGTAAATGAAGGAGCGAACAGGTAATGTGAAAGCTCACTCTCTAAAGAAGGCCAAGTATTTCTGTTGAGAGAGTATTAACCTGAAGCATTGAATGTTTCCATCTCCAAAGATGCTACCTGACCAGCTGATTATTTTCAGCAGTTTCTGTTTTCATTGCAACTTTCAACAGTTATATGTCTTAAGACGATTCATAATCCAAAGACTATGGCTCAAGTGAAATACCAAGTCATGCCCCTCACCTGCATAAACAAACATAATTTGATATATAATTAATATCTGCAATTTTTGAATTTAGGATGACCTAATTATAAGCACTGCATCACCAAACTGAATTCAGAGTCAGTGCTCATTCAGTAATGGTGACAACTTATTAAAATTCAATTACTCACTTTTATTCCTAAAACAATTCCCTTTGAAATGTAAATTGGTTTTTAGGTACAGAATTCAGTCTTTCAGATCACAAATGTCCTCAAATGAGATAAAATAACAAGATTCAAAATGAAAATTACCTCAAAACTGAGCCGAGGCTCATCAAACATGTTTCCCAACCAGGACAGCACAGCATTAAGAAAAGCCAGGAGTGCCAGAAATGCAATAAGGTTAACAGCAATGTTTGCCACCAAACCAATTGATGCAAAGGCTCCTAAACAGGCTGCTTCTATTATGTTTTTTGCTTCACTGCAGTACAAAAGATAAATAATATGAAAAGATAAATAATTGTGCATAACAGTTAAAAATTCTTTGGCCAAATCTATCTGGGAAAATAAGGATGGGTTTATGATGTGTACTATTATTAACGCACAGATTTACCATCAGGTTCAGGAAAAGAAATTACATGCTCGATTTGCAGGTTCCACATAATTCTGATTAATTTACACCATTCTGCTCATTGCTTCAAACAAAGTGTACCTCCTCCTTAACCTCCCCATTATTCATCAGCACTTGTTAAATTTTTATATTAATTGTTCATTGATATTACAGCAATTTAAGGTTCACAACTAACAGTGCAAAGACCATGTCTTTTTATTTCTGTGTTATTTAAAATTGTGAACTTAATTGAGAAAGACTGTTTTAAAATCAACTTGTAAAGGATGGCTACATGTTTTGAAAAGCAAGGAACTGATACTTATGCCAAGCACTGTATAAATACCTGTTTGAACAGGCAGTAATTAAAGTGGCTGCAGATAAATTGAACCCGAAGATTTGTGTACAGATGTAGCTGGATGGCAACAAGTTGTTGGACTAGTGACCAGTTACCAATTAAGAAAGCCTTCTGCCTGCCAACAATTATGCGATTGATCTTTACACAACTGAACAGTTGGTGTTAGAAACAAGATACAGAGAAATGTTCTGATCTCTATGAGCACAGTCTTCTCTCTGTACTCTGCAGTTAAAGACCATTATAAACTTGAAGAAAATAAATTCAACTTTTCCTTCAACAATTGTTCTAAGTTGTGTCTTTTGACTGATCATTCAGATATCTTTTAAAAGTGAATCAGCCACCATGTGTCTTTTGCAAATCAGTGAAATGTTTTAGCAAAGATCTATAGCTTGGGTTGTGGCTAGAGTTGTTCGTTGGTTCACTGAGCTGACTGGTTTTCATGCGAACATTTCGCCCCTTCTAGATGACATCTTCAGTGCTGTCTAGCCTCCGTTAAAGCGCTGTTGTTTTGTTCCATTTTGAATTTGTATGGTCCGGTCTGTTATGGTGGGTAGTTCTGTTTCTGTTTTTGCTCCATAGTGGTATGTAGATGGGGTCTATTTCACCATGTTTGTTTATGGTACCAATGGTTGAAAACCAGGCTTCCAGGAAATTCTCATGCTTGTCTTTGTTTTGCTTGTCCTGGTAGTGTTATGTTGTCCCAGTTAAACTGATGACCTTCTTTGTCAGAGTGAATAGAAACGAGGGAGAGTTGGTTTTGCCATTTTGCTGCGAGTTGATGTTCATGTATCCTGGTGGCGAGTTTCCTGCTCAGCTGATCTAAGTATTGCTTCTGGCAGTTACTGCATGTATTTTGTATTTCACATTTGTCTTGCTCATTGTGGTACGGGGTCTTTCATCTTTGACAGTAGCTGGTGAAGTGTGGCTATTGGTTTGTGTGCTATCATTATTCAAAGAGGTTGTAGGAGTCTTGTAGTCAGTTCCGATTTGTTTCTTATATAGGGTAGGGTAGCCAATGTGTTGGGATGTACAGTGTCTTCTTGGTGTTGTTTATTTGCCAGGCATCAATGGATAAATCTGTTAGGACACCCATCATTTGCAAAGACTTTGTACAGGTGTTCTTCTTCATTTTTGCGTAACTCCGGGGTGTTGCAGCATGTTATCTGTTTGTGGACACTGGGGTGGTTACTGTGGTAATTCAGGATTTGGTCTATGTGTGTAGTCTTTCTGTATACACTGGTAAGGAATTCACCATTGTTCGTTCGTTCCATCATTAGAAACGGGAGTTGATTGTTGTTCTGCTCTTCCCTGGTGAACTTGATCCTGGTGAATCAGGACAGGTCTCTGGCACTGAGCCTGGCCCTGTGCCACAGAAGGGAAGGGGGGAGAATAGGAGAGCAATTGTAGTGGGGGATTCAATAGTAAGAGGTTCCGTGGACGCGAACAAGATGAACGGATGGTGTTACCTCCCAGGTGCCAGGATCCATGATGTCTCGGATCTTGTCTTCAAGATCCTTAAGGGGGAGGGCGAGCAACAAGCAGTCATGGTACACATCGGTACCAATGACATAGGTAGGAAAAGGACAGAGAATGCGAAAAACGAGTACAGGGAGTTAGCTTGAAAGCTGAAGTCCAGGACAAACAGGGTAGTTATCTCTGGATTACTACCAGTGCCACGTGATAACGAGGTAAGAAATAGGGAGAGAGTGCAGCTAAACACGTGGCTACAGGGCTGGTGTAGGAGGGAGGGCTTCCATTATGTGGATAATTGGAGCACATTCTGGGGAAGGTGGGAACTGTACAGTAAGGACGGGTTGCACCTGAACTGGAAGGGCACAAATATCCTGGGAGGGACGTTTGCTCGAGCTATTGGGGATGGTTTAAACTAGCTTGGCAGGGGGGTGGGGAACCGGATTTGTAATTCAGAGGATGAGGTATTCAGCCTTCCAACAGACACAACAGGGAGCGAGGTTGTTAAGAAAGAAATGCGGTCGATGGAGCGTAATTGTGGACACAGATGGTTTGAGGTGTGTATACTTCAATGCTAGAAGTATCAGAAATAAGGCAAATGAACTTAGAGCATGGGTCAGCACTTAGAACTACGATGTTGTGGTCTTTACAGAAACTTGGGTAACTCAGGGACAGGAATGGTTGTTGGAAGTTCCGGGATTTAGACGCTTTAAAAGAAATAGGAAGGGTGGAAAAAGAGGCGGGGAAGTGGCATTGCTAGTCAGGGCTAGTACAGCAGCTACTGAAAGACAGTTCGAAAATGATATGTCTACAGAGTCAGTTTGGGTTGAGGTCTGGAACAAGAAAGGAGCAGTCACTTTGTTGGTTTTTTTTTTTTTACAGACCCCCTAATAGTTGCAGAGAAGTGGAGGAGCGGACTGGGAGGCAGATACTGGAAAGGTGAAGTCACAGGGTTGTAGTCATGGGTGACTTCAACTTTCCAAATATTGATCGGAAACATTTTAGTTGTAATATTTTAGATGGAGAGGATTTTGTCCAGTGCGTTCAGGAAGGATTCCTGACACGGTACGTAGACAGACCAACACGAGGAGAGGCCACTTTGGATTTGGTGCTTGGCAATGAACCGGGCCAAGTGTTAGACCTGTTGGTAAGAGAGCATTTTGGCGGTAGCAATCATAACTCTGTTACTTTTACAAGAGTCATGGAAAAGGATAGGTACATACAGCAGGGTAAGGTTTATAACTGGGGGAAGGGTAATTACAATTCTGTTAGGCAAGAACTAGGTAACATTAAATGGGAACAGATGCTGTCAGGGAAGAGCACCATTGAAATGTGGAGATTGTTTAAGGAATGCATACTGCGTGTGCTCGATATGTTTGTCCCTAGCAGGCAGGGAAGATGCGGTCGAGTGAGGGAGCCTTGGTTCTCTAGAGAGCTCGAACAACTGGTTAAGAGGAAGAAGAATGCTTATGTAAGGTTTAGGAAACAAGGAACGGAAAAGGCTCTCGAGGGATATAAGTTATCCAGGAAGGAGCTGAAGAAAGGGCTTAGGAGAGCTATAAGGGGGCATGAGAAAACCGTGGCAGATAAGATCAAGGAAAATGCCAAGGCTTTTTACAGGTATGTGAGTAATAAGAGAATGAGCAGAGAACGGGTAGGGCCAATCAAGGATTGTAAAGGGAATTTGTGCACGGAGCCTAAAGAGATAGGAGAGGTCCTTTGAATATATTTCTTCGGTATTCACAACCGAGAGGGACCTAATTGTAGAGGAGGACAGTGTGAAACAGGCTGGTAGGCTAGAGGAGGTTGCTGTCAGTAAGGAAGATGTGCTAGGAATTTCGAGGAACTTGAAGATAGATAAGTCCCCTGGGCCTGATGGGATTTATCCAAGGATTCTATGGGAAGTGAGGGAAGAGATCGCAGGGCCTCTGGCGATGATCTTTTCATGCTCACTGTCCACGGGTATAGTGCCGGAAGATTGGAGAGAGGCAAACGTCATTCCCTTGTTCAAAAAAGGGAATAAGGATAACCCCGGAAATTACAGGCCAGTTAGTCTTACGTCAGTGGTGGGCAAATTATTGGAAAGGGCTCTGAGAGATAGGATTTATGATCACTTGGATAGGCACAGTTTGATTCGTGATAGTCAGCACGGATTTGTGAGGGGTAGATCATGCCTCACAAACCTTATTGAATTCTTTGAAGAGGTGACCAAACACAGTGGATGAAGGTAGAGCAGTGGATGTAGTATACATGCATTTAAGTAAGGTGTTTGATAAGGTTCCCCATGGTAGGTTCATGCAGAAGGTAAGGAGGCATGGGATAGGGAGAAATGTGGCCGATTGGATTCAGAAGTGGCTGACCCTTAGAAGACAAAGGGTGGTAGTAGACGGAAAATATTCAACATGGTGCTCAGTTACGAGTAGTGTACCACAAGGGTCTGTTCTGGGTCCTCTTCTATTTGTGATTTTGTAAATGATTTGGATGAAGGAGTGGAAGGGTGGATTAGTAAGTCCGCGGATGATACAAAGATGCGTCGCGTTGTGGACAGTGCGGAGGGCTGTTCTAGGTTACAAAGGGACATTGATAGGATGCAGAGCTGGGCTGAGAAGTGGCAGATGGAGTTTAACCCTGAAAAGTGTGAGGTGATTCATTTTGGAAGGAAAAACTTGAAAGCAGGTTAACGGAAAGATTCTTGGCAGTGTGGAGGAGCAGAGGGATCTTGGGGTTCATGTCCATAGTTCCCTGAAAGCTGCCACCCAAGTGGATAGAGTTGTTAAGAAGGTGTATGGTGTGTTAGCTTTCATTAATAGAGGGATTGAGTTCAAAAGCCGTGAAGTTATGCTCCAGATATACAAAAGCCTGATTTGGCCACATCTGGAGTATTGTGTCCGGTTCTGGTCACCTCATTACAGGAAAGATGTGGAAGCGTTGGAAAAGGCACAGAGGAGATTTACCAGGATGTTACCTGGAATGGAGGGATGGTCTTACAAGGAAAGGTTGAGAGAGCTACGGCATTTCTCTTTAGAACAACGAAGGATGAGAAGTG